GTGACTTAGGGTCCTATTATAGGTGAAACACCTTTGTGACTTAGGGTCCTATTATAGGTGAAACACCTTTGTGACTTAGGGTTCTACTATAGATGAAACACCTTTGTGACTTAGGGTCCTACTATAGGTGAAACACCTTKGTGACTTAGGGTTCTACTATAGATGAAACACCTTTGTGACTTAGGGTCCTATTATAGGCGAGACACCTTCGTGACTTAGGGTTCTACTATAGATGAAACACCTTTGTGACTTAGGGTCCTATTATAGATGAAACACCTTTGTGACTTAGGGTCCTACTATAGGTGAAACACCTTTGTGACTTAGGGTCCTATTATAGGCGAGACACCTTTGTGACTTAGGGTCCTACTATAGATGAAACACCTTGGTGACTTAGGTTCCTACTATAGATGAAACACCTTTGTGACTTAGGGTCCTATTATAGGTGAAACACCTTGGTGACTTAGGGTCCTACTATAGATGAAACACCTTGGTAACTTAGGGTCCTACTATAGGTGAAACACCTTGGTGACTTAGGGTCCTATCATAGGTGAAACACCGCCTTTGAATATTTCTGGCATATTAGCCATCATTTGCATCGTCATGGCTTTACTTGTCATACAGATTTTCTATCAATTTAATGTATCCAAACATCTATTGATGCATGTAGTTAGAATGTAACGTAAGATACCGTCTTACTATAAACTATAAACGTCTACCGTGGTTCTAGCAACTTTTCAAGTAGATCTGCCATCTTTGACTGTAGTGTATCTAAATGTCTACTGATTTATGTAATTCAGAAAGCCTACGTGGAAATAATTTTCAAATTCGGATTACAATTATCTAAAATTATTGCACCATCAATTAAATGGATGACAATAAAATAGCAGTGATTAGCAGAGAATAAAAGTGTTTAATAGGTTATTACAAGAAGCTTGTAAGATGTATTCCTTGAGACAGTATTAGAAATAAACTGATTTTTGTGTGTGTAAATGATGGAATTTATTTCTCAGCTTAGCCACAGGGATCCCAAACATGTTACTTTATTTGCTGGTATGCGAATAGTATTATTTGGCCAACACACTTTGATCAACTCTCTGGCGGTGAGAGGGTCACAGAGGAACCCCAAGCAATTAATATTCAAGTGGTAGACGAAATTTCTCATTGGATCCTGAATTTCGGAAAAATCTCTGACAGGTATGTAAAAAATAAACAAAAACAAAGAAGTAAACATTTGATGTTGCCTTTCCATATATAACTATTGCCGAAGGGATAAAATAGATGATCTTCATCATTTGGGCTTCACATGTTCTCATAATTACACTGAAAGCTAAGTTCCATTGTGTAATTTTTAGATTTTAAAGGTACTGAAAAAATTTCAAAAATAATTGAAGCATTGGGCGTGGAGGAAAACTAGCGAAAGAAATGGGAAATATGACGTTTATTAGTAAATGCCTTAGTATGTAACTCAAAGTCATAAAATTAAAGATTTGAAATCGTTGAAATGTACGTGGACTGAATTAATTATAACATAGGAATAGGATGATGATGATGATAATGATAAGATGATGGTGAAAATGGAGGTGATAATAATGATGATAATGGTGATGACGATGACGATGACGGAAATGATGATGACGACAATTATAGTGATGGTGATGACTATGATTATGAATAATAGGATGACTATCAGGAAGATCATGAAGAGGGATCATGATGATGATGATGATGACTTCCCACGTTAAAAGGATAAGGATGCGGATAATAATGATGATGATGATGGTGATGATAATGATGATGTTGATGATGATGATGTTGATGCTGTTGATGATGATGTTGATGATGATGTTGATGATGATGGTGATGATGATGTTGATGTTGATGATGTTGATGATGATGATGTTGATGATGATAAGAATAATAAGATAATGATCAGGAAGATGATGAAGAGGGATCATGATGATGATGACTACCCACGTTAACAGGATAATAATGATAATAAAGATGATGAAAGTAGGACGATGAAGATGAAGATGGGGATCCAATAGAAATAGTTATTCGATGTATATACTGCCAAAACATAGTATTTGCAAAAAAACATTTAAAGGAAAATATATGATAAAAAATTTGAGAGAAAATAATTCTTATACCCATCTAGTAAAACTAGCTGGCA